CACTTATGATAAAAGGTGATTAATATTCAATAGAAATATTAATGTTAAAAAACTGTGGAAACGAGTACATAAATAATGCTTGAATATTTACTTCAGCTTCTGATATCCGATTAGGCAGACCAACTACAAACACTAAGTTTTTTTGCAGTACCCGCATGTTATTTAACACTTTTCTATCTTCAGTGATTTTGTTCTTTTTTTGTTGATGTTTTTGTCGTTTCTCTGCTTTTAATTTAGCTACTTCTTCTCGACTAAGCGGCTTGAAATCAGCCGGATCCTCGGGATAAGGTTTACGACATGCTGGACATAAGCCATTCTCATCGGTACGAATACGATGCCAGCAGAAACGACATATCTGGTAGCCACATGTACATGGAAAGAAGTTCAAGTCATCCACCTCAAACGCTTCCATGCACAATGGGCACTCGGGCTGATCATCACACATATGATTCAAAACAGACATGGTAAAACCTGCTGGATAAAAAAAAAAAAATATAATAACCAACTTAGACTGAGTTTTGAATTAAAGTAGGTTAGTGAAGCTGTTCGACATAAATAGATTACCAAAATGCAATACGTAATAATTAATATTATAAATTATGGATTTTTCGGGAAAATTGAATACATTAATAAAAACGAATTCTGAACAGGAAGGACTGGCGTTCATGTCCTCCAAATAATATTATATTATGATAACCTTTTGTTCGGTACTTACCTCAGAAATTTAATTGTTATATTATATACGTATATGTTGTATATTATATTATATTATATTATGCGAGTAATAATATGTATTTATTTGTTTCGCTTTCCCAACACGTACCTATGTCTATCGATAATCCTCACCGTATAGATAAAAACGTATCATACAATGTAATCCAAAAATATTGACAACCAAAATAGAGTAGARGAGTAGAACTATTGAAACTTTCGACAATCGACACAGGTTTTCAAGCTATTACGCACACAAATCAACATTCGACAATCACTCAGAAAATTTTTGTGTATTGTTGCGCAGGCAGCTGTTTATTGGACGGTGGGCGGGAGGCGGAGCAGTGTAAACGTTATTGATAATTTAAACAAGAATGTCTTTGGATGCGTCCAACGAAGCCCGCGAAATTTGAAATATCAGCGAAATATCATTGGCGTTCGCAAAGATATCCGCGTACTTATATGCTCCGTTTCAGTTATCAAACTGAATGTAAAGCATATTTATTTTTGTTTTCCTATTTGTTTTTCATTTTTGCTAACGGTGGCGAATAGCAATGTGGAATCTACCACCCCTCTTCTATCTTTTCTTCACCTTTATGGACCCCACATTAGTTCTATTAAGTTATGCTCCAAGTTCCAGCTGAGAATACTGTAATTTTTTGTCACTCATTACATGTTATCTACCTATCTTTGGAGACAATAATATTCCGACAATGCAAGATGCGTCTCTAAAACGGATAATGCCAATAACTAAT